TTTTTTAGCAATATTCTGGACATTCTGGTGAGCCTCAAACGATATTCTTAACGTCTAGCAAACATTCTGGACATTCCGGCGACTTCCATTGACGTTCAGAACACTCCTATAAACTTCCGGCGATACTCCGGCGATTTCCCAGTGATATTGAACATTCCGGCAAGTCTCCGGTGATCGTCGGATGGAAGTCCGACAGTAGTGGGATGTAGCAGCGTCTATAAATTTTTTAAAAAAAATAGAATTTTTTGGTAATAATTACAAATATATAGAACTAATTGGCACAAGTATTTTGTTTTGGGATTAAATGGGTTTTAAATTTTGTATATAAGACTAATTGGTAAGCTTCCCATAAAAATTTAATAGTTAAAATGTATATAGCATTGAACTAATATGGGCTATCCAAAACTAGGCCCCAAATTTATAACTGCCACTAGTCCAAGGCAATGGGCCTAACTTACATTCTCTGGATTCTCTCAATTCTCATATCTTTTCTTATAACAAAAATGACTTTAAAACACACCAAAAAAAAAAATTATTATATATAATTTATTTACAATTATTCAGTATCTTTAAAATAATTTTAATTAAGGGTATATCAATAAGAAAAACAAAAAAGCTTGAGATTTATACAACATAATTTATGAATTTACCTATAATAATGTACATTACTCTATATTCATTATTTATTTGTCTAAAAATCAACATAACAACTCCAACATTTCTTTATCTATAAATATTTTTTTTAAAATTAAAAAATTTCCCAAGATTTGACCTCAGTATAAATCAAATCATAAAATTTTAATTGTTTCAATTTAAACCATAAACTTTTAAAATAATATTATTTTTAACCATTGGTATATCTCTGCTAGTTCTAACAAAAGAAAAAAAAAATGATAATTTAGATAATTTAATCATTTTTTTCTTCATTATTATTGACAACCACTTCTTTTTCTTACCATCGCCCATCACCACTCCTCATCTTTCTTAATCCACTGTCATTCATTTATCCTTTTTTTTCAGCCATCACTACTCTTTCCATTCCCAACTCACGACCACTCCTATGTACCTTCTCAATCCATATTCACTATTGTCGTCCAATTAAAGCTAAAAACAAGTCGTGTTGATTTGAGTCGAGACAAGAAATATATTATTCAAACTTGATTTGATAATGTAATGAGCTTAAAATTATATTAAAATTTGGGTTATTTATCTAATGAGTCAATTTTTGATAAATTTTTAACAAGCCACGATCGAGCTTGAATAGCTTAATTTTTTATAATACATATAAATTTATCGAGTTGAGTATCTAGTTGTTGTTTAATGAGCTTAAAATTATATTCTAACTTAGCTTTTTATATTAACGAATCGATCTCAAAAGAGTTTTTAACAAACAGAACACGAGTCAAGATCAAATAGTTTGGATCGTTTAACACTCCCACATCCAATAACCAGGGGCAGAGGCACAACAGGGTCAGGGGGGTCACGCCCCTCCTCAATTTTGAAAACTTTTTTTTTTTTTTGTTATTGTCATGTATAAAATGTATTCTCTTTCTTTCTTAACATGTTCTTTAGCTAAGGGTTTATTATATTGTTCACAACAAGTAGTTATTTGATACTTTAGAAACACTATGTGGTATTGTTTATGTAATAGTTTAAATCAATAATGTAGCAAAAAATATTATAAATTGAATATAATGAACTTATTATTTTCAAGTAATTGACATACCACTTAGTGTAATTTGTGATTTTCTATGCTTTAAGCATCATGTAGGCAACGTCATATGGTACTCTAAGACTGTTTAATCATTTTCATTCAAAACACATCATTTATAAGTAATGTCATCTCTCTAATATTTTTCTGTCAAATAAAAATTAAATAGATTTTATAATAATTTGTGCTATAAATGATGTGTTTTTATTTTTTAAAATTAGAAATTTTGATACATAATTTTTTGTGCCAAAATTGCAAACTTACATCATCATCCCACGCCGAGCTATTTCACACTATTATAGAATTTTGATTTGTTTTTATTAATAATGGATATGTAATTTTTCATGTTTAAATTTATCTCATAAAATTATTATTATCTTAATGTTGCTCATGATTTTTTTTAAATAAAAAATTATAATTAATACGTGTCATTTTTAACTTAATTTCTTGGTTCAACCACTGCCAATAACACTAAAAAAATTTAAATTAAATAGTCTAAATCGTTCATGTTCTGTTAGTTATAACTAATGAATGGTTGGCATTAATATTACTTTAAAATTAAAATATTAAATTAAAATAATTAAAAAATTATGATTTAAAGATTTAAAACTCTCAGTTTTTTTTTTAATTTTTCAAAAATTTATAATTTGACGGTGACCAAAGTGAGGTGTAAACACAATTCTCCTATTTCTCACTTGACATTTCTGTATTCCCCAAATGACCCCTCAATCTTTGAAATATTTTCATCTTCCCCCTCCCCACCAAACAGTGACACTTGTTCCCAACTGTGACACTTGTTAGTGGCTGCTTCTCTGAGTTTGCATGAACTGTACCGAACACCCTTAAAACCCAAGTCCCCAAATTCACAAATCAGAACATACACAATCCAATCTCTCTCTTCTTTCTCTCCAATTTTCTTTTGCCGGAAAATTTCATGTTCTTGGGTTCTGGGTACCTTTCAATCTCGAAAATGAGGTGGGAAAAGTTGCAGATACAGAGCACGGTGGGGGAAGGATGTGGGCCTGGAAAGAGGTGGGGACACACCTGCAACCCCATTAGAGGGGGAAAGCTTCTCTACGTTTTCGGTGGTTACGGCAAAGATGAGTGTCGCACCAATCAAGTACACGTCTTGGACACTGGTGACAGTCTTCAAGCAATTCTGGGTTTTGAATCTATACAATCTTTTGCTTACAGATTGTTATATTGAAGCTTTTTTGATATTTTGTTTTTTTTACATTTTCAATTAATCATTCATTATGTGTTTATATAATCATTCATTATTATGTGTTTATTTGTTGAACTGAATGCCCTATATGCGTTGTGAAATTTAAGTGTATTTCATGTTGGGTAATCTTCTCTTCATTTTGAATCTATACAATTTTGCTTACGGATTGTTATTAAAGCTTTGAGACTAAGTTTTGTTGTTTTGTTTTTTGACTATGCTAATTAAATTAACCATTGATTATATGTTTTGTTGTTAATTTTTTTTTCAAGGGTTTTATTAGGTTTATGTATATAGGTTTATGTGATCGGTGTCAATACTATAAGTTGGAGTGAATGCCCTATCCGGGTTGTGAAATTTTCGGATATTTCTTGTTGGGTTAATTGTTAGCATTCTTCAATGTCGTCTTTGTGGTCAACATTTTTCATGATTTTGTTCTATATGAAGCATGGGCGCGGGTACAGATACTGGTGCGGATATGATACGAGTACGTTGATACAGTAAGACCTAAAAAAATATAAGATACTGGTACTGCTGAGGTGCCTCAATAAATTTTTTATTTTTTATAATTTATAGTTTGAAATTCAATTTACAAATCGAAGTTCAATACTAAAACTAAAAGGAGAAATGACAAAACCAATAGAGAAATCATAGTTAAACAATACCAATATCAATACCAAAACAAAGTCTAGAAGCTATTTTATTGCCATTAAATAGGAAAATTACAAAATAAAGTTTCATTCCAAAAGCAAACTAAGTAAAATTTAAAAATTTGAAACTTTAGTTTTCTTTTCCATCAACTTCATCATTGAATAATACATCTTTCATCACTGGCACATCAAGTAAAGAAGAACTCTCTGATAAATTAAACGTACCCCCACCAAATTCTCATAACTTTGTGTACTCCCGATGTACCCATAGGTCATGTTTGATTCACAAGATTAATAGTGAAGTTAAGGATAATGCTTATCCTTTTACACCCTCCCCCACTGCTTAAACCAAGTGGGATGGTTTTCTCTATGGCCGAACTTCCATTTGACCGAAGTAAAATTGGCTATACCGAGCCACAGAGGGCCGAACGATCCTTAGCTCGGTCTTCTCCTCCAACTCCTTACTTCGGCTGCCCTGTTCAACCTTGATGTGCTTAGTTCAAACTTCTAAGTAACAAGTTCTGACCGACCGAACCATTGTAAGTCACGACCGGACTAATTCCGACACCGGCCTTCCCAGGACATACTGCGACCGGACTAACTCTGAGACCGGCCTAGCTGTGAGTTGCCCCCAGACCGGAGTAATTTTACTCTTCCTTGGGCCGAAGTAACGATCTCTTCTTGAGCCGGAGTAATTTCACCTCCTTGGGCCGAAGTAACTTTGTCTTCCCAGGGCCGGAGTAACTTTGTCTTCTCAGGGCCGGAGTAACTTTGCCCTTCCGGGCTGGAGTATTTATTGCGGCCTTCTTACTTAGTCCTTCGCGTTTTGGGCCTCAATGCCCGACTCTCAGCTCGGCCCAATTTTCCCAAAAATTACCCTCTCAGGTAATATATTATTAAAGATTAGTAATGGATTCATGTTTGTGCATTTTTCCTTCCAATGTTTTCAAAATCAGACCATTCACGAAACCAGAAAAGGATCTAAGTTAAGGGTCATTGAATGTTTGTTAAAAAAGTTAATTATACTTGAATACCAATCATGAGATTTCGTGTTTGAGCCTCTTAAGATTGATTTTTACAATGTTTGCAATGACTAGATCATGCGTTCGAGCCTTTGAGGGTTCAATCAATTTTCTTAAACTGGCTACCGATTCAAATAGATGTCCAGTTTAACCATACCAAAAACAAACAAACAAAAAAAAAACGATTTTCGATCTAAAATGGATTCAAGGGTTTATTCCGTCTAGAACCTAGACCAATCAACCAGATGGTCTAAACGTGTTTAAAAATATTGTTTCCTTAAAACCCAAAAAAGAAAAATATGCATGCCATCTTTTGTGCAAATATATGAAGATTTTGAGAATAGAGGGATTGGGCATATGCATCGTGACTCGTATCTTTTGATTGGGTGTTGCAGACCACTATAGCAAACTTGATTGAAAGGTTTTATGACCCTATCAAAGGAAAGATTTTGGTGAATGGCGTTCCTTTAGTAGAGATATCCCATGAACACCTACACAGAAATGTAAGTTGTCCTAACATCTGCAAACAGAAAATTCTAAACATGTTTATATCGGTTTTCAATGTCTAATGAAATTTCACATCTAATGGACAACTCTACCGTTGAAATGCAGATTAGCATAGTGAGCCAGGAGCCCATTCTGTTCAACTGTTCCATTGAGGAGAACATTGCTTATGGATTGGACGGCAAAGCAAGCAGTGTTGATGTGGAAAATGCAGCTGTAAGATTGCCGTCTCCACTGTAACACTGTTTGCCTTTAATGAACATTTTCAAAAAGAATATCAAATTTTTTTTTTTAAGATCCATCTAAACTAGATGACCCTAAATTTTTTAATTGAAAAATGTTCATTAAAGATGAAAATAAGCTAAAATTTTGTCAAAAGAGCTTATAAAAGTTGGCTTATTTTCTTCTTTACTGAAGTTTTTTCAATATTTTCATATTTTTAAAATTATTGGGATTGTTTAATCTAGACAGATTTATAAAGTAAAATCTTTCGACTCAAAATTAAAAAGAAGTTCACTAAAAAATAAAAAAATAAAAACACAACTTATAAGTTGTTGTCAAGAGAACTTTAAATACTTTGATTCTGATAATATCAATTGTGATAACTGCAGAAAATGGCGAATGCCGATGAATTCATATCCAAATTTCCCAAAAAATACCAAACCTTAGTTGGAGAACGCGGGGGGAGGCTTTCAGGAGGTCAGAAACAGAGAGTAGCAATTGCAAGAGCTCTTCTAATGAACCCTAGAATTCTCCTCTTAGACGAAGCCACGAGTGCTCTTGATGCTGAAAGCGAATACCTAGTCCAAGTTCGACTTACATATTATTACTCACCTACTTTTAAACTAAGTGATATGTTTTTTTTCATATTTTTAGTTGACTATACACACGATGCTGTTGTATAGGATGCTATGGATTCACTGATGAAGAGAAGGACGGTTCTAGTTATCGCACATAGGCTCTCAACTGTCAAAAGTGCAGACATTGTCGCGGTTGTTTCTGATGGTCAAGTGGTTGAAAGTGGCACTCATGACGAGCTCCTCGACAAAGATGGTGTCTATACTGCATTGGTGAGGAGACAACTGCAAGGATCCAAAACTTGAACCAAGTTTCAATGATTTAGGTTTCTTTGAAGACTGAAGAACATGGAGGGAAGTTTTATGGATTGGTAAAAAATTAATGCAAATAATTTTATATACTTCTTACATGCTAAACTATCTCAGTATGCTTCTTGCAACTAGAAATTTGAGTGTTTGAATGACTTTATTTGTTTTGAAAATTTATTTTACTTCTTGTTTTAAAAAAATAAAAATATTAAATATAAAAAAAAATGAATTGACAATGTCATCAAGCTCTATCTAATTTCTTACTTTTGTTGGTCATGATAGAGAATAAGAAGAAAAGTAAGTAGATATTTCTCAAAAAGTCCCTTTTTTTTGTTTTATTTTTTGGTTACACCAAGAAAAGTGAACAGATACAATAATTTAATTTCCATCAATTTTGAATCCAAACATATCCATAAATCTTCATTTTGGAGCATTTAGTATTCTAGTCCTTCCTATTCAAAAGTAAATCTTAAGGGATTTTGTTGATAAACTTGAAATAATTAATCAACTAACTAATTTGATTGGTCACTCTTATATAATCTGGGAGGTTGAGGGTCAATCTTTGCACAAAAGATTGATTATTTCTTTCTCATTACACGGTTATATTTTTTTTTTTCTCATTATGAGCTATTTATTATTATAGTTGTTGGGTTTGAATTGTTTCGAGATTAATGTAATTCTTCTCCCATTAATAATTACTTTCTTATTGATTGGCAAAATAAAATAAAAATTACAATTATCGGTAGAAAAGGCTTTGATGCCCAATCATCAAACAATCAACATTTATGTCAAGAATACATGAAAAAACTCAAAATCAAAAACAATCTAGCAAAATATGAGAAAAATTTATTTACAAGATAAAAAAAAATTATTTAAAAAAAAAATCACCGACATAACATATAATGCTAAAACTTTTTTTAGATTTGATATAATAATAAAAACTTAGGCAAATTACTAAGAAGTCCTCTTTCAAAAAGGTGTGACCTATTTAGTCTCACAACCTTTTTAGTCCCATAACCTTTTGTTTACACTCAAAAATCCTATAACGTTTTTCTTCTTCTCAGCCTTTGTTCTTCTGTACCTCTTCTTCTTTCTGATTCCCAGCAATCGTCGCCGGGTAACCAGATCTTACTTCTTCTCTTTCTCTTTCTTACATGGAGGTGCATTGGGAGTCTGAGATTGAGATGGGTAAGAAAAGAGACGCACTTGGGTACATGGAGGTGCATGGGTTTATGGTGGATTTGTAGATTCAAATGTTTAAGTTTTTTTTTTCTATTTATTTGTTTATACACCTATACCTCTATTTATATTAATATATATATATATATATATATATATATATATATTTTTCTCAATACAAGAAAAAATAAATATTCAAATCAATTTTTTTATTAAAAGTTTAACATATACCAAAAATAAATACATATCATTTAGTTGAAAATTAGTCAAAAATGTTCCTACATAACGAAATTTTGATTAAAATATAACAAATTAAAGTTAAAAGAGTCAAAAAAATGAATAAAATTTAGTTTTAGAGGGATTGTTAATGATTTTTAAAATTTCACGGTCGCGACGCCCGATTCCCGATATGTACCGGCCGATACTACCGATACCGATACTCCGCGATCGATACCGTTACGTCAGCCGATACCACGATTTAGAACTATGCTTTGATGCCCAATCATCAAACAATCAATATTTATGTTAAGAGTACATGAAAAAACTCAAAATCAAAAACAATCTGGCAAAATATGAGAAAAATTTATTTACAAGATAAAAAAAATTATTTAAAAAAAAAATCACTGACATAACATATAATGGCAAAACTTTTTTTAGATTTGATATAATAATAAAAACTTAGGCAAATTACTAAGAAGTCCTCTTTGAAAAAGGTGTGACCTATTTAGTCCCACAACCTTTTTAGTTTCACAACCTTTTGTTTACACTCAAAAATCCTATAACGTTTTTTTTCTTCTCAGCCTTTGTTCTTTTGTACCTCTTCTTCTTTCTGATTTCCAGCAATCGTCGACGGGTAACCAGATCTTACTTCTTCTCTTTCTCTTTCTCTTTCTCTTTCTGATATATAATCACCGGCGACCGATGACTACTATCGATTAGGGTTCACCGGCAACCACCGACAGCCAACTCCTTACTTCACCCTCACCAACGGTGAAAAATATATGTTTCCGATGAAGAAAATAAGTAAATCTACTTAGATCTGATGTATATTAGATCCGGCTAGATCTAAACAAAAAATAGTTGCCGAAATATAATCATCTCTCTATGTCTGCCTCTCTCCTTCAATCTCTTAATTTTTCTACATTTTCTCTGCTATACACTTCTCTTTTCCTATTTTAACGAAGAAAATTTTCAAGTTCTGAACAAGTTGTTTTCGAATTTTAGTTACAGGTAGTGAAAACTGTAAAATTTTGCAGTTTCAATTTTTTTTTGGTGTTGGGATGAATCATGGTTTAAAACTACAAAATTTTGCAGTTTTATAACATTCTTTAGAACTGTAAAATTTTACAATTTCATAACATGTTTTTCAGTTTGATTAATAAGGATAAATGCTTAATAAATTTTTGTTTTGAAACTATAACATTTTACAGTTTCAAAGCCTGCTTTTCAGTTTGATCAATATTGGAGATTATTTGCTTAAACCCTACAAAAATTGAAAAATAACATGTTTTTTCTCATTATTGTTGTTTTTTATCGTTACATTTTTTTTCCTTTTAGTCTATCAATATTTAGCACATTTTGCTATGTTTTTTCACTCTAATTTCTCTATTTATTCTTTTTTTCGAGCAATATTTTGGACATTCTAGTGAGCCTCTAACGATATTTTTAACGTCTAGCAAACATTCTGGACATTCCGTCGACTTCCATTGACGTTCAAAACACTCCTGTAAACTTTCGGCGATACTCCGGCGACTTCCCATTGATATTGAACATTTCGACAAGTCTCCGGTGACCGTCTGACAGAAGTCCGACAGTAGTGGGATGTAGCAGCGTCTGTAAGTTTTAAAAAAAATAATAAATTTTTTGGGTAATAATTACAAATATATAGGACTAATTGGCACAAGTATTTTGTTTTGGAATTAAATGGATTTTAAAATTTGTATATAGGACTAACTGGTAAGCTCCGCATAAAAATTTAATATTTAAAATGTACATAGCATTGAACTAATATGGGCTATCCAAAACTAGGCCCCAAATTTATAACTGCCACTAGTCCAAGGTAATGGGCCTAACTTACATTCTCTGGATTCGCTCAATTCTAATATCTTTTCTTATAACAAAAATGACTTTAAAACACACCAAAAGAAAATTTTATTATATATAATTTATTTACAATTATTCAGTATCTTTAAAATAATTTTAATTAAGGGTATATCAATTGAGAAGGGAAAAAAAAAAGCTTGAGATTTATACAACATAATTTATGAATTTACCTGTAATAATGTACATTACTCTATATTAATTATTTATTTGTCTAAAAATCAACATAACAACTCCAACATTTCTTTATCTATAAATATTTTTTTTAAATTAAAAAATTTCCCAAGATTTGACCTCAATATAAATCAAATCATAAAATTTTAATTGTTTCAATTTAAACCATAAACTTTTAAAATAATATTATTTTTAACCATTGGTATATATCTGCTAGTTCTAATAAAAGAAAAAAAATGATAATTTAGATAATTTAATCATTTTTTTCTTCATTATTATTGACAGCCACTTCTTTTTCTTATACCATCGCCCATCACCACTCCTCATCTTTCTTAATCCAGTGTCATTCATTTATCTTTTTTTTTCGGCCATCACTACTCTTTCCATTCCCAACTCACAACCCCTCCTATGTACCTTCTCAATCCATATTCACTATTGTCGTCCAATTAAAGCTAAAAACAAGTCGTGTTGATTTGAGTCGAGACAAGAAATATATTATTCAAACTTGGTTTGATAATGTAATGAGCTTAAAATTATTTTAAAATTTGGGTTATTTATCTAATGAGTCGATTTTTGATAAATTTTTAATAAGCCACGATCGAGCTTGAATAGATAATTTTTTATAATGCATATAAATTTATCGAGCTGAGTATTTAA